CACCGAAGTTAAGAGCTGGGAACCGGTGCTCCTCACGAGGCATGGTGTGATCACCTCTGTGGGGCATCCAGCTCCCCTATCGCCACTCCACCGAAGGTGAAGCTGGGAGCCGGCACCTCGCACGAGGTCTGCATGCGATCGTACTTTGATTTGACCCAAAGCTCATTCACCAATGGCGTCCAGGCCGGATCTTTGAGGTTCCCCGTTTCCAGGGCGGGAGTATCGGCCCTCCGAAGAAGGCCCACTCTACCACAACCACCTCAGGTGAAGAGCTGTTGGGGGCGACAATGGCGTCTCTAGCGCGCACTTCCTCCGGGGAGGTCATGCACACCATTGTCTTGAACTTTCAAACAATAGATGTTGTTCTTTTAGATGGCGTCGACGCGTGATCATTGAGGTTTCCCTGAATACCAGGTACCGGGCTTACACGAGGTGCAAACCCCTAACCACCATCACCGTCAATTTCCTTAAGTTTCAGTTTTGTTGGAGGAAAGAAATTACCACGCCTGAGTACAAATCCTCTAACAGTTGACCTTCGCACAAGCACCTGACATGTATTGGTATTGAATTGTGGACAGCTCTTATAGAATTTGGCCTTGATGAAAGCCAATGGTCTGACATCCTATACAGGACAGCAGGACTTAGCTCCGAACAAGTGTCTCGTGTTATCTTGTTACAGCCAAAGTCTAGATCGCCGCGATCGTCGCGACTAAAACACGTCTATAATATACAAGCAGTAAAGTAGCAAGTAGCAAAAATATACAAGCGCAGTATATACTACTGCCTAATAGGTCACCGCCGAACAAGTCAACTCAACCTTTTATTTAAGAACAACTTCAACACTATCAAAACATCTCCACACTATACACTTTGTATAGTATTCCTTCTTCTTGCGCTTCGTTGCGCATTCGTCATCGCTGCTATCGCTGCTGGAGCTAACAACCTCGACGTCCTCGACGTCGGCCTTTGCAGGCCTTCCCTCCTTCGGACCCTTAGGTTTTCGGGCGTCGCCCGCTCGTTCCAATCGGTCTAGCCAATCCTTGAGTTCCTGCAAAGCTACCATTCCATTGAAAGCCTCTTTTACTCCGATAAGTGCGGCCATATCATCCTTATTGAATGACACTCTGCCGTTACTGAAACAGGTTATATTACGTTGTAATATAATAATCGAGTTACAGCTGCTTCTGTAATTCTCAATTCTTCTCAATTTATGTGAACGATTCTAAACTCTTCGTTTGGGGCCATATCTACAATCATGTACATCAACTAATCACGTCAATATGACGATTGCGAAGGCACGATAGATAAGCACAAAAAACAAGAGAGACGCAAAAGAATTTCGAAAAGATGACGTCGCCATGCATGGCGCACCGACAAACATATGTAGACAGTGTTAGCACTATCCAACAAGTTAAAATGGGGGAACCATTTACAGCTAACATAGGCTAGCCCAATGTATCCCATGCAAATCTGCACATAACGATACCCATTTTATTCATTTGTGAACGTTGGGAACACCGAAAACTCTTCATCGAATGGTAGATCAACCATTCGATGAAGAGTTGAGATCTGCTGTAACTTCAACGATTCTAGATCAACTGCTGTAGGTCGCGGCATCGATCTCTCTATCCGCAACATTCGCCAAGATCAGCGCTGCGGTGGCTCTCCATTTCCTGCAAACCACGAATTGCTATTCCCAATTTTGCTCTCATCCTTCTCCTGGCATTGGGGAACGGGCTTTATCTATCGCGGAGCATCAGACCTTTTTTCCAGCTCCAGTCCCTTGACTGTGGTTTCGCCAGACAGTAGTTAGGGACAATGGGAATCTCGTAAATCCATTCATGTACGTCAGGTTTTAATGATTGCCCTCCACGACCTCTGCCCACTGGGCCGATTCCATATGGCCACCACTTATCAGAGGTCACCTGGACTACTCTAAATGGAAAGTGAGCATCTGTAATAATAAGGGTAGCCGCATGTTACAGGGGCCGACAGAGCCTACCCATTGTGCTGCAGCATGCTCGCTTCATGGCCTATATGTCGTCATTGGACATGTGGCACTTGATGATTCTATTTGTTCCAAGCACAGCACACCTTTGCATCTTCTCTATGATTGTCTTAGTGCCATCAGGCAGCTTAAGCAATCGGACGTACTCTCGTAGTTGGGGTGAGCATTCGCCACAAGCCCCTATCACGATAGGTACGACTTCTACCCTCATGCCGTGTGCAGCTGTGCTTTTGGTGCCGCTTTAGGTTCGGACCAGGGAAGAAATCCTCTGGTTCCGTTCCTTCCGGAAGGCAGCTATTCATTCCATATTTACGGATCTTCTTGAGCTCTTGACGAGTGATTCTAGTGAACCACGAGACCGAGACCTCAATGATCCAAATTACTTTGTCCCTCAGGTCCTTGACTACTATGTCAGGCCTGTCGTGTCGCAAGTTCTCCCTCGTTACAATGCGGTCATTCCAGTGTAACACCACATGATCTCCCTCCACTAGATGTGGAACGTGTGTGTTGGTTACTCTGGAACTCAGACCGTACTTCTTTTTCAACGAGTGGTAGATTACCCTGGCTACTTCATCATGTCGTTCGACCATGATATTGGTTCGCCAGTGGTTACATGCTGACACTATATGTTCTGCCGTTTCCTTTGCATTGCAACGCATTCGGACACATCTGGTTACTATTCGCCCAGATTGATTGTCCTGAAGCGCTGGCTTTTGTCGGCAGAGAAGCCTCTTGGGCAGCCCAAACGTTTCGTAAGACTTCAGAGGACACCCATCCGGTCTGTGACCACAAGAACGAATCCTTGTGACAGACGTATGGTTGCTCGTTCGTCTCGTTGTTACTGATCACTCTGCTCGCTACCACTCTTTGCTTCCATTCATACATTCGCGTTCGTGCCCATCGTTCGTGAACGAGGGTAGATATTGCTCTTGCGGCTTCTGTGGCCGCTGCGAATGTTACGATCTTTCACTTGAATAGAAGCTTGAGCAATGCGAGTCACTTCGTCCTCCAACCTATTTTCAGCCATCACGGCTCTAAAGTTGGAAGTGAGTGATCGTTTGTTGCTGCCTCTTAGGCTTTCACAAAGATGATAGGGGATATGGAATTCTGGTCGAGAGGCGAGATAACACCATGTATAAACAATGGTGTGCTCCATCTCCTCCTCTGCGGACTTCAGTCCCAATCCTCCTTCTTCTTTGTTAACGTAGAGTCTTGGTACACAGCTGTGGCCGAATCGCAAATGCGATTCGGATTCGCCTTGCTGGGATTCATTCGAAGTCCTAACTCTCCAGCCACTTTCTGGATGCCCTCTTGGGCTTTCACTATATCATCCCATCTGGGCGAGTAAACCTTTAGATCATCCATATAGAAGAGATGGTTGATCTCTAGGGGTCCTTCTGGCAAAGTCAGAGCTCCGGTGGATGTTCTATACGGGCTAACGTTGTTACGTAGCCACGCCGATATAGGAGCTATGGCCATACAGAAGAGGAGCGGACTGAGGGTATCCCCTTGCATCACTCCTCTTCTGACCCCTAACGGTTCACTCTTGACCATTTTGCCATTTTGACGTCCGCAATACCTGACGCTTTGCTTGGACATGATAACCGAGAGCAGCCTCCTTGTAGGGGAGGCCACTCCGGCTCTTGCCAAGATCCACTTAATAGCGCCATGAGACACGGAGTCGAAGGCTTTGGTCATGTCTACCCATAAGGTGTGTAGTACGTTTTTGCGCCTTAAGGCGTCTTTACAGATAGTCTGATCCAAAATGTGCGCATGGGTGCAGCCCCAGATTCCTTTGCGCAAGGCTACCTGCTCCGGAGGGAGCACATCACCAGCGCTCAGGAGTATCTGTTGCGCTACCATGGCGGTCAGGACTTTGTAGCATGTATTTAAACATGCTATCGGACGGAAGTCGCCGGGCCCGCGGGCGCCGGCGCTCCCTTTTGGAATCAGAACTATCTTCCCTCTACACAACCAATTAGGGATGATTCTATGAGGCATACGTAGCGCATCAAGGCACCACGATTTTAGCCTCTCTCTTGCCTCTGGTATTTTCTTCCACCAGAAGCCCTGTATGCCGTCTGGACCTGTTGCTTTCCAAGGTTTTATCTTAGCGAATATCTTCGCCCAAGTTTCCTCGGACAGGTCTACAGCGGCTCTATTTTCGCCTCTTTGCACCGAGCGAGACCACGCTTGAAGGTCGTCTGACGGATGGAAAGGTTGCGATTCTCCAATGATAGATTTCCAGTGCTCGCGCACTTCCGCAACCGGTACATCAGCTTCCCCTTCGCGTGGTTCCCTAGCTACAGCAGGGTATCCCCGCTGTCTTTCTCGCTGGCGTCTTAGGGCTTGCTCTATTGTTTTGATTTCAGAGTTTACAACCTTCAGCTGATCCTTGAATCTTATCCGGAGTCGCTGAATGTCCACGGTTGTATTGACTCTTTGTATTCGGGAAATGACCCGGTACTGTTCACTAGGAGGTCCCGGGGCATTTCCACTTCTTCTCCTGAGTTCGTGCGATAGCGTCGAGACGACACTCACGAGGGTGTCTCTCAGTGCTTTCGCCTCTCTCAGTTTCTGGTGAGTTTTACCCGCTTTTTCAGCCTCGCCGTCCAACAGGATCGTTGTGATGGCTTTGGCGATGGCATACACTGCAGCGTTCAAAGCTGTCAGTGTGCGCTTATTGGTGGAGTTAGTGTGCCCCAGCTTCTCTGAAAGGATTTCATTTGCGAGCTGGAGCATGCCCTCAGGTATTTCTCCTTTGGGCCTTCTTATTGGTTGCCTGTCATGCGACTCTTTGGCAATCTCAGTTGTTTCTATGGACGACGCTTCAATGAGAACCGCACTTTCCGGCTCTTCATTTGGCAGAATCTCGGAAGTCATTTCTATGCCGCTCGAAAGCAGGCTATCATCATGACTCGATGTTAAAGATTCTGCCGCGTCAGTCAGTACAACTAGTGTCGCAGTCTCAGCGGATAAGCTAGTGGTTTGTCTGGATGTAAGATGAGAGGTCTCATCTACGGAACTCTCATCCGGTGAAACAAGAGCCTCTACTGTACTACTCTGAACAGAGTAATCACCGAGGCTTGGTGTCACTTGTTCCACCTCATCTACAGCAAACCTAGCACAGTTCTCAGTTGTTACCATCGGCGACGCTTCTCTGAGGGTCATCCTTTGTGATCCCTCGCTTTGCTGAATCTCGGAAGTCATTTCAATGCCGCTAGACAGCAGGCAATCATCATGACTTGATGATTGTGATTCAGCTGCGTCTGCCTGTACAACTGGTGCGGGTGTACTAGTAATTTGTCTGGATGCATGGAGAGAGATCTCACTTAGGGAACTCTCATCCGGTGGAGTATCGGGAGCCTCTACAATGCTACTCAGAACTGAGTAGTTACCAAGACTCGATGTTACTTGATCCACCGCATCTACAGCAAACCTAGTACTTAGATCAATAGATGCTTCGGGCGACGCTTCACTAGGGACCATGTTTTCAGGTCCTCCATTTGGCTGAGTTTCGAAAGTCACCTCAGTCCTGTTCGAAAACAGGCTGCCAGAATGACTTGAAGTTAGTAATTCAGCCGCGTCTTCCAGCTCTACTGGCGTGGCTCGTCCCCGTCTTTTGACGAGCCTTGCGTGAAGTGCCCCTAAGGGCCCTCCTTACTTCTTGGCGGTTCGTCTCGTCGTTACGCCGTTGAGCTTCCCAAGCCACAGCCTCAAGCTTCGATCCACCGTACTCGCCCTTTTCAGTTTTGTCCCGTGCAAGCTGACCAACTGGACCAGCTTGCTCACTTCGCTGTCGCTCCAATAAGCACCCCCTCTACTAGAGGTAGTGCTTGTGGTAGCTCTCTGAGACGTCGCACTGCTTGTTTCCAAGCAAGTGCCAGGACTTCTAATTCCCGGCGTGGCAACGCCTTCAGTTCGACAGCTGGTCTCCGGCCCAGCTACTGCGGATGTTTCCTCACTCAGCCGAGTGCTTTGAGCCTCAGTCTCTGGGGATTCCGTTTAATGCCCGTCTGCTTTGCTTTGACGAGTCTGATTTATAGCGCGGTGCTTTCAAAGCACCTCTCGTTCTGACGGGGTCGTCGTGCTTTCTAAGGGCTTCCCACGATTTCTCGAGTTCGACCCATTGCACGCGCCCCGTGGCCATCCTGTGTCTTTCGACCAGGGAAACCAATTTGTCTTGCTCGTGTACAGTCCAGGGTAAACTATTTCGTGCCGACGACTTTTCGCGACTTTGGGAGCGAGTACCGTTCAGTCTTAGCGGAATCGTTTCTGGACTGGTTCGAAGAAAGAGAAAAAGAAAAATTAAAAAAAATGGTCCTAAAGAGATCCCGGGTAAAGGGGACATCCGGTGGGGATATTCCGGAGCCCCCTGAGCAGGGCCATTTATTCTCTCATTTGACTTTTTCGCAGCAATTGGGCTTTTTACAGGAGAGGGGTCGCTAGCCCCAATCCAAACCCTCCTCCTTTTGCATCCGATCTTGGGACTGGCAAATGGCGGAGTTCTATGGTTATCTTCATTGGCCGCCTCATCTCATTAGGACGAGATTCTGAGCTGGCGCGATTACAGCTCATCCGACCATGTAGTATAACCTGCCCTTATATGGGTCTTTTTCCGATAGCAGCTAGGTTTACATCCAATGCCACCGCGCAGACCTCCAGACGATCTAACCAGCAAACGCGGATCTACCCTAGTATCTCGAGTACCACGTTAACTACGCTACATTGGATTTCGCCCAGCCCTCCTATACTGTGTCCGTGACGTGTTGGGGCCGAACCAGCCGATCCCAACGGTTCCCATGAGCTGCCTCATCGCATGTGAAAATGCTTTGCGAGGACTTACGGCAACCTGTCACATTCACAGTGGCGGAGTTGCTTTATTTTTATCGCAGATGTGCACTCACTGAGCTTCGTTGGCAATGCCAACTCATAGGTGGCCTAAGGCCAGATGTTCATCCACTCATCACTCTATTTGCGAAGAAGGCATCTTGCTATTGAGCATCGAGAGTACAGTAAACAAATTTACTGAAGCTTGATGTTCATGGCTCTATAGCTAGGCCCATTTGCCTTTATACAGCGATCTCTCTCGGACCGCTGTTCGGCTTATTGCCTGTATAGAGGTATCCCTCGTCCTCTACAGGTCTTATTCTTGTCATTGCCTTTATATAGCAGTCTCTATATAGGACCGCTGTTCGGCAAACTAGCATTACAGACATCGACTGCTGTGTTTCGAGAGTTCCAAGACTAGAAGTCTATCGGAACTAGACCTTTACAACACAGCAGTGTTATCTGCAATTGCTGAAATAGACTTACCAGAAAGGCCCTCGTAGAAAATCTCCAATCTACAGGGCCTATGCTGTCATTGACCTAAGTATAGAGGCATCCTTCGTCCTCTTACAGGGCTTACCTTGCGCTTCTGTACAGCCAGTCTGCTCATGTTAGGGACCAACTCGTTCGGCCCAATACTAGCATTGCAGCGGCCATCGACTGCTGTGTTTCGAGAAGTTCCACAGACTATGACGGTCTATCGGAACTAGACCTTCACAACACAGCAGTGTTATCTGCAATTGCTAAAATGACTTACAGAAAAGGCCCTGTAGAGAAATCCCCCATCTCTACAGGGCCTATGTGTCATTGCCTATATAGAGGCATCCTTCGTCCTCTACAGGTCTTACCTTGCCTTTATACAGCAGTCTCTATATAGGACCGCTATTCGGCAAATAGCATTACAGACATCGACTGCTGCGTTTCGAGAGTTCCAAGACTAGAGGTCTATCGGAACTAGACCTTCACAACACCGCAGTGTTATCTGCAATTGCTAATACGACTTACAGAAAAGGCCCTGTAGAGAAATCCCCCATCTCTACAGGGCCTATGTGTCATTGCCTATATAGAGGCATCTTCTGTCCTCTACAGGTCTTACCTTGCCTTTTATACCAGCAGTTCTCCATATCAGGACCGCTATTCAGGCAACAAATAGCTTACAGACATTCCAGACATCAACTGCTGTGTTTCGAGAGTTCCAAGACTAGAAGTCTATCGGAACTAGACCTTCACAACACAGCAGTGTTATCTGCAATTGCTAAAATGGACTTACAGAAAAGGCCCTGTAGAGAAATCCCCTATCTCTACAGGGCCTATGTGTCATTGCCTATATAGAGGCATCTTCTGTCCTCTACAGGGCTTACCTTGCCTTTGTACAGCAGTCTCTATGTAGGACCACTATTCGGCAAACTAGCATTGCAGACATCGACTGCTGTGTTTCGAGAGTTCCAAGACTAGAAGTCTATCGGAACTAGACCTTCACAACACCGCAGTGTTATCTGCAATTGCTAATACGACTTACAGAAAAGGCCCTGTAGAGAAATCCCCCATCTCTACAGGGCCTATGTGTCATTGCCTATATAGAGGCATCCTTCGTCCTCTACAGGTCTTACCTTGCCTTTGTACAGCAGTCTCTATGTAGGACCACTATTCGGCAAACTAGCATTACAGACATCGACTGCTGTGTTTCGAGAGTTCCAAGACTGAAGCCCATTGGAACTAGACCTTCACAACACAGCAGTGTGTTATCTGCAATTGCTCGAACCCCCATGACTTACAGAAAAGGCCCTGTAGAGAAATCCCCCATTTCTACAGGGCCTATGTGTCATTGCCTATATAGAGGCATCTTCTGTCCTCTACAGGTCTTACCTTGCCTTTATACAGCAGTCTCCATATAGGACCGCTATTCGGTGCAACATAGGACTTACAGGACATTCGACTGCTGCCGCTCTCGAGAGTTCCAAGACTAGCAGCGTCTTATCGACTAGACCTTCCACATACACCGCAGTGGTTTATTCTGCAATTGCTAATACCGAGCTTACAGAAAAGGCCCTGTAGAGAAATCCCCTATCTCTACAGGGCCTATGTGTCATTGCCTATATAGAGGCATCCTTCTGTCCTCTACAGGTCTTACCTTGCCTTTATACAGCAGTCTCCATATAGGACCGCTATTCGGCAAACTAGCATTACAGACATCGACTGCTGCGTTTCGAGAGTTCCAAGACTGGAGGTCTATCGGAACTAGACCTTCACAACACAGCAGTGTTATCTGCAATGCTGAAATGACTTACAGAAAAGGCCCTGTAGAGAAATCCCCCATCTCTACAGGGCCTATGTGTCATTGCCTATATAGACGGCATCTTCTGCTCACATGGCTTACTCTTTCCTTTGTACCACGCAGTTCTCCATATAGGACCGCTATTCGGCAAACTAGCATTGCAGACATCGACTGCTGTGTTTCGAGAGTTCCAAGACTAGAAGGTCTATCGGAACTAGACCTTCACAACACCGCAGTGTTATCTGCAATTGCTAATACGACTTACAGAAAAGGCCCTGTAGAGAAATCCCCCATCTCTACAGGGCCTATGTGTCATATGCTTTTAGAGGCATTTCTGTCTCTACAGGGGCTACCTTGCCTATTGTACAGCAGTCTTCTATGTAGGACACTACTTCGCGCAAACTAGCCACTTACAGACATCACGCTGTGTTCGAGATTTTCCGAAGACCTGAAGCCCATTGGAACTAGACCTTCACAACACAACACTGTTATCTGCAATTGCTGAAATGACTTACAGAAAAGGCCCTGCAGAGAAGTCTCCTATCTCTACAGGGCCTACATGTCATTGCCTATATAGAGGTATCCTTCATCCTCTACAGGTCTCACCATGCCTTTATATAGCAGTCTCTATATAGGACCGCTATTTGGCTAGCGTTGGCGCAAGGTGACGTCGGATTGTAGTCTCTTGATCACCACTTCAAGGTGGTCGCGCGTCTCGGTCTGGTGTCGCAAAGGCAAAAAAATAATTTTTCTTTTTGAAAACAGCTTATGGCCAACCAGAGGAGAACCCGCCCCTCTGGCTAGGGCCCTTTGGCCGCCCCCGCGCCCCAAAACCCTAGCGCATTGCTTGTACAAGATAAACCAACATTCACTAAAACCTTTATTATCACAACATCAACGCCAACAACATTATCGCCATCACATTAACAATATTAGGGCACCTTCACTTTTGAATTCTTCTTCTCTGGTTGGGCACGGATTCGTCTTCATCAGACGATTTCACCCTTTATGCCCCCCCCCCCCTTTGACTGTGGACGGTCTCCCTTTGTCATGATCGCCTTCTAGTTTCGTGGGCGAGCTTGTTGATCTTTTCCAAATATCGACTCCATTCCCGCGTGGTTCGCTCCTCTTAGGGCTTTTGATTAGCTCGAGCATCTCCTGTTTGTCGAACGTCGCTCTGCCGTCCCTGAAGTCAATATGTTTGGTTACAATTCTCGCATGTTTAGTGGTCAACTTACTTTATTCGTACTAATTGAGAAGAAGCGTGTGCTGACCATCCGGGTTGACCACGATATCTCTTTTGTAACAAACTTCTTGGGAGCCATTATCTGCAACAGTTGCTTTAGTCTAATGCTATTACTCTTATTGGTACAACCATGCGAACACGATCGATACACAATGCAGAGAACAGAGCTAGGAGATACTATCAACGAGAAGCCTCTGTCGGTGTTGCGGTCAAAGCCCCTACTAGCCACTCTCCACGAAAGCGTGAAGCCAGCGAGCTAACACTGCGCTCGCCGGACTTTGAGTTGCAGATCGACCTCTATGGGGCTTACCAGCTCCACTACTGCCACTTCACTGAAAGTGAAGTTGGGACCCAGCGCCTATCACGAGGCATGTTTGCTCCTCTGTCGGGCATCCAGCTCCCTTATCACTACTCCACCAAGGCAGAGCTGGGAGCCAGCGCCTCGCACGAGGCTGATATGCGAGAATTGTTTGGTTTGACCCAAAGCTCATTCACTAATGGCGTCCAGGCCGGATCTTTGAGGTTCCCCGTTTCCAGGGCGGGAGTTTCGGCCCTCCGAAGAAGGCCCACTCTACCACAACCACCTCAGGTGAAGAGCTATTGGGGGCGACAATGGCGTTTCCAGCGCGCACTTCCTCCGGAGAGGTCATGCACACCATTGTCTTAAACTTTCAAACAATAGATGTTGTTTCTTTTAGATGGCGTCGATGTCTGATCATTGAGGTTTCCTGAATAACAGGTACCGGGCTTACTCGAGGTAAGCGAACCCCAACCACCGTCACCGTCAATTTCTGTTAAGCTTTCCCAGCTTTAGGAGGCAATAGCATTGACACTTGGCTGATCTTTCAAAAACTCCTAGCAGTTGACTCTTCGCCTCATTGCCACCTGAATTGCACCATGAACAATCAGAAGTTGTTTTCTTGTAAATTGGGCGTCGTAGTCGTGATCCGCATTAAGGTTCCCTGGTGACCACCAGGTACCGGGTAAGCACGCTTTACAGCTGTGCAAACCCATAACCACCATTACTGAATTTTAGCCTGCTGGTCTAAAGCCGTTGCCTTCCGATCCTATCCCTATCGTCTACCGAACAGGAGACGCCGGTTCCCCTTCACATTTTCTAGCCCACAGCTGAGCAACATCGACGGGCTTCTGAGTACTCTGTGTACAGCGAGGCAGAGACTTGTTTCCGCCTCCTAGCGCCCCGTACCTTTCCCCACAGGCACGGTTCGATTTTCTTTCCATACCTACCCTGTAATTCCCATCCCGCGGAACTACACCAACCCAGCTCAACAACACATAACACACAAGTAACGAACACAACAACGCTCTATCTCGAACAACCCAAGTACTCAGCTTTCGACCTTATCACCCCGTTTTATAGATACATAATAAATTCACAGATACACATAACCCACATATCTCTTTGACTTAGTTCATACCCCCAAATTTTTTTATTTTTGTATTTATTTTCTTTTTTGTTTTTTTTGTTTTTTTTTCTTTATTGTTTCTAAATTCGAGTTCGGCTCATCTTGGTTGGGTGAGCCTACTAGAAGCCTATTGGCCGGATGCGTTCGACCAGGCAACTGTGTACCTCCCCGTCAATTTCCTTAAGTTTCAGCTTGGTTGGAGGAAGGAAAATTACCGCGGCTGCTCATCCAATCCTCCAACACCTTCAGTGATACTCAGTCTGAGATGTACTGACTGCTTGCCCCGACGGTCACGAAGTGGCCGCACCCTAGCCGGTAAGTCAGTACCAGTAATCAGCATCAGCTACATGTCCCCGGCGACCACAGAGTGGCCGATGATGTCCTCCGGTAAGACCGACGCTGAGAACCTCTAACTCTCGCACATGCTTCCGACATGCATGGCTTAATCATTAAACTGAGCATATAGGTCAGACAGAATCAATCACTTCAAAGGGTATTATGCCACCCTTAGGCACGCATAGGTCCTATAGCCTATGCTATTACACTCTTACATTTTCGCAAAGCTCCAACATTTTCAAATATTGGCAAAATCAAATCTGCACATAACGATACCCATTTTATTCATTTGTGAACGTTGGGAACACCGAAAACTCTTCATCGAAAAGTTTCCATCCCATCCTCGTTCGAAGATGATCCAATTCCAGCAAGCGTGGCCAAGTCGTCACGATTGAAGGACACACGACCGTTGCTGAAATTAAAGGATTAGTAAAGTATCGGAGTTCCAGCTGCTCTGCAGCCCACTCACTTTATATGAACCACATTGAAAAACTTCTTTCAGAATACCAATTTCTTTCTGTCCTCTGCCGGAGCCATATCTGTAACCATGCTTATTAATGGCGGCAGTTGCATCTTGGCACGCCAAAATGACGACTGCGATCGACAAACATGTTTGATACAGCTCACAAACAAGAGAGACTCAAGAAAGCGATTTCGAGAGATTTCGAGAGACGACGTCGACGTGGCGCACCGACAAACATATGTAGACAGTGTTAGCACTATCCAACAAGTTAAAGTGGGGGAACCATTTACAGCCGACAGAGGCTAGCCCAATGTATCCATCTGCGCATAACGATACCCATTTTATTCATTTGTGAACGTTGGGAATACCGAAAACTCTTCATGGTAGATCAACTGCTGTAACTTCAACGATTCTAGATCAACTGCTGTAGGTCGCGGCATCGATCTCTCTATCCGCAACATTCGCCAAGATCAGCGCTGCGGTGGCTCTCCATTTCCTGCAAACCACGAATTGCTATTCCCAATTTTGCTCTCATCCTTCTCCTGGC